AGGTCATATGAGCGCGCGGAACGCATCTAATATTTTCAGTTGGTAGGAAATTTTGAATTTTGCCCAGGTGGCGGCCGAAGCCTACTTTTATCGATTTTAGACCACCAAGGGATCTTTAAAGTGCGCAACTTGCACACGGGCCCTCCGAGGTTTTTTCGACCTTGTCCGAGAAGGCTAGGTGTAGATCTTTCCTGCCATAAGATCAGGGGTGTGGCTGAAAGACAGCAGTAAGAAGAAACGAAGGAGTAGCAGTAGAAAGGCTGCAGAAAGAATCAGGAGCCCAGAGGGAGGGGCAAAGGGGGTGAGGGGATGGGGGCAGAAAGAGGAGACGAAAGCAGACAACAGAACATTGCTAGAGAGCAGGAAATGAGTTGAAAGGAGACAAATTTAGAGAAGAAAATGTTTCGGTTGCTACCCGGATTCGAACCCGGAACCTTTTGAAAGAGAGGCCAACACCTTAACCTCTAGGCCACGAGAGCCCCCTGGCCATTTTGAGTTATTCTATCTGCTCCATCAAAATCGTAAGAATATCCGGAGTCGTTATTAATTATATTGTTATTCACAGAATTGCTTTCGACAAAGCTTGACATATATTGTGAAACCCTTTAATTTTCTCGTCAAATTTCTCAAGACTAGGTAGTGAGCAGATAGAACTTTGTAATGCTGAAGTAGCAAAATATATACTTTACGTGACAAGGAGTTACAAATAAACATGTTTACGCAAAGACAATCCGTGCTGAAAGTGTTCTCGAAGCGCATGCTGCGTTATGTTACCTTTGACCAAACTGAACGTACACGAATTAACACAATATAATATAAGACCAAAAATTTTAAAATATGCTTTTACGATTTTGGTCCCCACCCTTCATTGTTGTTATAAACTCTTTTAATTACAGCTACGTTCTAGCCTAAGTTGTTTTGAAACAATTTTACTCTGCTTTGATTATGGAAAGAACAACGACGCCATGTTCTCCATTCTGATCTACTTGACCTAGTTTGCAGATCCTGAGCTACGTTCTGATCAAAGTTTAAAAAAAAAAAATTAATATAGATGTTTTACGTCCCCACTGACACAATTTAGATCTTCAGGAGATAGGATTTTGACCTTGCTTGTCAGAGCCAACCCAGACTAAGACAGGTACATCCCAGCAGATGACCGAGATACTGGATACACTGTTCATGATGTAATTGTAATCTGGTTTCGATTAACGTAAAGATGTCCTGTCCCTTCCTCCTTCCTAACAAACTCTTTTTCAATTTGTGACGTACTAAATCGAAAGCTGTGTTTCAGCTTGCAACATACATAAACTATTATATCGAGAGCAAACTGTGTGAACTAAATCGAAAGCTGTGTTTCAATTTGTAACACGCATAAAGTAAATCGAAAGCTTTATTTCAGTTAAGCTAAATCGAAAGGTTTATTAGAGTTTGTAACGCACATAAACTAAATCGAGAACTGTGCTTTAGTTTGCAACAAACATAAACTAAAGGCAAAGCTGTGTTTCAGTTTCCAGAGTTCAATGACACAGACGCAACAGGCTGCTCAGACGTCGAATATACCAAGACTTTGGGAGAAATGTTCTACTCAGGTAATGTTGAAATCATTTAAGATGGCCATCCATTGCCGAGGAGAAATATGGCTGTTTTAAATAGATGGAAATCTTGAATAGCGTCATTATTATATGAAAACACAAAGGGAGACATGAGAGGGGGAAGTGGGAAGTTGTCGTGTACACCGGTTATTGTCTTGGACGGGTGGCTAATAGAGCAGGTGAGACTGCATTGTGGATAAATGTGGAATCAATTAAACCCACCTTTTGGGAACTTACTATAATTTACATGACGGCATGCTAAGAGACCTTCTTTTTTACAATTTACTTGATTTTTTAAATACGGGGACGGGGAAAGATCATGCCGACGTATTCTGGTTTATTGTTGTAGAAATGAAGAAGAGGATAGAGGAAATTATGAGATGAGGAGACGGAGGAAGAGGGAAGAGGAGGACCAAGGGAAAGAAGAGGAAGAGGAGTACGATGAGAAAAAAGAAGAGAAAGTGGAGAAAGAGAAGTAGGTGAAAACGGCACGGGGG